TGTCATTCTATTGTGAATGATTAGGAGGATGGCCAGGTCATTTTGGTGGAAGGAAAAGATGGTATTGACTTGAGCAGTAAAGAAAGTGTTGAGGATGTTTATACCATTGAGGAGGGTGAATTGCCTCAAGAGGTAAGGCAGGTGGGCCTGAACAATGATAGTAAGCTTTTCTCAAAATATCATTATTATAGTGATGCTTTTACTGATATAGAGGATATGGATATTGTGGCTAAATTTTCTCCAAAAGATGATAATGACACTAGTTATACCATGTTTCAAAATAAGAGAGGTAGGAAAAACAAGAATATCATATTACAATTGCCTAGGACCACCCGTTCGCAAATTAGTCATTAGCATCTTTTTTTAAATGTTTAAATTTCTTATTTGGAATGTTAGGGGCATTAGATGCCCCTCCTATAGGTTGAGTGTTAAGAACTTATGTTGTATTTATAATGTTTCTATTCTTATTTTGCTTGAATCTCTTATTACTTTTGATCAATTACTTAGTACTGCTAGATTTTTGGGTTTTAAGCATTCAGTGTTGAATTCTACCAATAAGATTTGGGTGTTATGGAAGGAACCCATTTGGATAGATGTTATTGGAGATTTCACTATGTTCTACATTGTAATATTAAAATTTTAAATTTGAATTGTTGTGCTTCTTTTATCTATGTTGCCTCTTCTTAAAATACTAGAAAAATGTTATGTGAGCAACTCAGTAATTTCAATAGTATTTGTAAGTTGCCCTGGCTTGTTGGTGGTGATTTTAGCACTATTTCTAATCCATCTGGGTGTATTGGGGTTTCTACTCCTATGTATCACTCAATGGAGGATTTTAATAATATAATTATGTATTGTAATTTAGTTGACATTTGTTTCTCTGGTAATAAATTCATTTGTAATCATGGTCATTTGTTGGCAATAATTGGATCGGGTGTTATTTAATGATATTTGGCTTAACTCTTTTAATTTTATTTCTATTAATCATCTTAGCATAACTCTTTCAGGACACTCTCCTATGTTGATTAGCATCAAGACTAGGAATATGAGTTATATGCCTCAATTTAGATTTCAAAACATGTGGTTGCTTCATGATTCTTTTTTGGACTTGGTTCAGGAAAATGGGCATGCCTCCTTGCATCATGATAACTCTATTTTTGATATGAGGAGACTTTGGTTTAAACTAAAAAGACTTAAACAAATTATCAATTAATGGAATCATAATGTTTTTAAAAATGTTTTTATCAATACCTTGAATGTTAAATATGAAGTGAACATTATTGAGCTTAACTATAAATTATTTACTTATGTTAAGAATTTAAGTTTGCTTAGGGTTGCTAAAGATTATCTCTTTAAATTTTAAGCTCGGGAGGAAGCCTTTTGAAAACAAAAAATAGTTGTGAAGCACCTTGTTGAAGGTGACAATAACACCAAGTATTTTTATTCTTTGGTTAAGAGGAATCGTGCCAAAAACTTCATTAACTAAATCAATTGTGATGATGGCTCCGATACTGAGGATGTTGAGGAAATTGCCAATTTGGTGGTTCAGCATTTTCAAAACCATCTTAATAAGGATTTTATTCATGGCCAAATAGATAATCCCTTTATTATCCCTAATCTCATATCTCAAGATGATAATGAGTTCGTCCCTAAACCACCTTCATTAGAGGAAATTAAAGAGATTATTCATAGAATGAATGGTGACTTTATGGTTAGGCTAGATGGTTTTTCCACTAAGTTTTTCCAAAAAGCTTAACATATTATTAGTAATGATCTTTACTCTGTTATTATGGATTATTTTAGCTGGTCACACTGTTCCTAAATTTTTTTACTCCTACTTATATTATTATCATCCCTAAAATAATTATGTATGTAATTGGAATGATTTTAGGACTATTAGAGTTTGCACCTTTTTTAGTAAGTTGATCTCTAAAATTCTTATAAGTCAGTTAACTTTTATTCTTCCTAAAATTATCTCTCCTTGTCAAATGGGTTTGTTGCATTTTATGACCCATAGTCTGAGATTTTGATAATGAAAGATAATGAAAAATAATGTTGATTAATTATCCTATTTATAATTAAATATTTTGAATGTTACTCTTGTCTGTGAGTACTAACATTTTAGGGAGACCACACACACTACTCAAGAAATGGAATACTCGAGACTAGGTAGAATAGGATGTGCAGTCTATAACTTTATGTTTTCTTTATTTTTTTATTTCTTAAGTCTAGCCACAAAAAGTGTATGAAAACTGAGTAACCATGCACACATACAGGGTGAGAGTTTTTTTTACGTAGATTGTACTATACAATTTGTTTTCAACCTGAAAACCTAGCTGCTAGATTAATTTAAGCTAGAGCTGCTAATTCTATTGTTATTTCTCTTATTCCTAAAAAAGATCAATGCTATCAGTGTTTTGGATTTTAGGCCTATTTCTTTATGCAATGTTTTTTATAAAATTGTGGCTATAATCTTGGCCAATAGGGTGTTCTACCATATAATATTCATTAAATTCAATCTAGATTTATTAAAAAGAAGATTTCCATGAATAATATCATTCTTGCTACTGAATTACTTAGATATTTTAATTCCTCTTCTAGAGATAAGTTTTTTTTTTGTGCCAAATTAAATATTCACAAGGCTTTTGATACTATCTCCAGAGATTTTTTAATTTCTAGAATGGTTCAAAAAAGTTTTCCTCATATTTATATCTCCTAGATTAAAGGATGTATAGATGATGTCTATTTTTTTATTATTCTTAATGGTTCTATGCATGAGTTTTTTTGTTCATCTTCGGGTATTCAACAAGGTTGCCTGTTTTCTCGTTATATTTTTTGTATTGTTATGGATGCTCTCTCTCGTATAATATCATTCTTGCTACTGAATTACTTGGATATTTTAATTCCTCTTCTAGAGATAAGTTTTTTTTTGTGCCAAATTAAATATTCACAAGGCTTTTGATACTCTCCAGAGATTTTTTTTTTATTTCTAGAATGGTTCAAAAAAGTTTTCCTCATATTTATATCTCCTAGATTAAAGGTTGTATAGATGATGTCTATTTTTCTATTATTCTTAATGGTTCTATGCATGAGTTTTTTTTTCTTTGTTTAAACACTGAAAAATGTCATAATCATGTTTTTTTAATGTGAATTTTCCTTTAGTCTTATTTCTAATTTTTTGCCTAATATATATATTTTTTTATGTTCACCCAATTTGGGGCTTTATGTGAATTTTTTTCCTTTTTGTTTGTTGTTCGATTTATTTCATTTGAAAAGAAATGAATTCTAGGAGATTTGACAATAAATTTTCTATATCTAATTTTGTGAATAGTTCCATCTTTAAGGATTTATAAGATAAGGTTCCTAACTGGAATTCCTTTCATAGCATTCAAGGTTTTCTCCCATGATTATTGATTTTTTGCGGAGGGTTATTTGGGCTATATGATGATTGGGCGCCTTCAATTTTTCTTGGATGGTATTTTGTGGCAACCAGCCTTCAAATTTTTCTTGGATGGTATTTTGTGGAAACCATATTTTTTATGTAAAAACTTTGGATGGTCGAATTTTTGCAAACAATAAATGAATTTCTTAATTTGTGTTACTTTTTCAGAATTGCAATTTCTGAAGATTTTATCTGCTGTTGGATAATTCCTGTGAGAAGTTTAAACATTTTTTATGATGAAAGGAAGACTTTCTATAGCTGGCGTGTTTCTTCTCTTTGCGGATTTATAGGTTCTTCTCATCTTTTTTTCCAAGGCTTTAAAAATTGGACCGGACAACGAACCGGAAAAAGGAGAGATTCATGGTTTGACTGGTCTAACCAGGGTCGAACCAGATGATGTAATAAATAATAAATATTATTGAAATTTAATAAAATTAACATAATAATAATGTTATAATTTAAAGTATGAGACAAAAAAATAAATTAAAAAAAATGATCAAACATAAAACTTATATAATTAAGTAAAAGAATTATTTTTAAAATCTCACATAAAAGATAAACAAATCTAAATCATATAATTATAAGAATTTACACTCATAAAAATATGATGATTTTAAATTTAAATATTGTTCAAATTTTAAATTTGATTTTTAATTTAAATTTAATTTACATATAACAATATAATTTAATATAAATTATTATTAATTCATGTTAAATATTTAAGATAAATTTAATTCTAACATGTTTATGTTGTATACCAAAGTTATTTTATAAATGTTTATTTAAAATCATTAATAAATAGATAAAATTATTAATGATAAATTATTTTTTATAATGTATAAATAAATAAATTTTTATTATTAACTAATAAATAATTATCATTCACATAAAAAATAATTAATTAAAAAATCTGTTTAAACCGGACCGATTCACGGTCGAACCAGTCAAACCGGCCAGTCCGATCCGATTTTTAAAATATTGCTTTTTCTCCACTTTCAAACTAGCATTTTTTTCTTTTGTGGGTTCTTTCTGAACTTAGATTTCTTGTATTTTTGGTTAAGTCCATCTAAGAAGTTTTAATTGTATTTCAATTTTTTTCTAGTTTTCCTTATTTAAGTTTGTAGGTTTTTCTAATTTTTCTTACAATTCATTTGTAACCTTTCATTTTTAAAATGAAATTGGACATATTTGCCCGAATTTTTCAAAAAAAAAAAAAAATTTTAATTCTAATTTCCATAGCACAAATGCTCGATTAACATCATCAAAACACTATCATCATCCTTCAATAGTACCACAACATTCCCAACTACCAAAAGTGATCGAAATACAGTTTATACTTTGTAATCTCTGAAACTAACTTTTATAATTTTCTACTTGGTAAAAATTATTACAACTAAGCCATTGCCAATGATTTTTCTCATTTCCAAAATTTTTATGTTCTTTTCTTCTATATCTTTATATGTGAGATTTTTACGCAAAGCTCAAAAAAGTAAAGAAAATCTTTCAATCTTCACAAATTTTCTATCTCATAACAAAAACACAAATCAATTTACAAACATTGGAAGTAACATGAACTAGTTTTCATGAACTAGACGCTTTTAAAATATAAATGAAACAAGTTCACATTTAAAAATAGCTCTTAATCCCGCCCAGGTCCGGGGCTACAGTCCTTCATTGTTATGTTTCCATGGCCATGCTTGGACAAAATTTATAATCAGCACAAATGAGTATCGTCTAGCAAAAGTCTCAAATCTGTAGTATCTAAATAGCCACAGATGAAACTACAAGAATAGGCAAGTATTATAATGCCAGGTACAGTTGTTCATTTAGCAAGTAAACAAAATGCCCAAAGAAAATCAAATGACATCAGTTGAGACGAGGATGGTGAAGTTGGACGTCATGGTACATTCACTTGCCAGTATCATCATTACTGTTTCTTAACATGCTTAAAGTTGGACCCAAAGCATTCCTTCTCAATGCACTGTAAGACCATGGACCAGTTGAGGTAGTTTTTAAGCTGGACTTTCTTTTATCCAAATCATTTTGCTTCTGAAGCTGAGCTTTCTTCTCGTTCAGGGCCCGGTTTATGACCTCCCAGCCCTCACTAAGCTGATCATTCACTGCAGGATAGGGGAAATAAAAGATGAAGCCAATCGTGGAAGATGCTTCTTGTTCTCATGCTCAAGCTAAAATGTTGATTTTACAACAGCCTTAACTGCTAGCATTTAAAAAAAGAAGAAGAAAAATGTGGTGCAGAGAATTTGAAAATCTGTGATTAATGAAAAAATTGCTCTAAAGTTCTTTCGCTCAACTGTTTTACAAATCATGTTTTGAAGTTAAGGAAATAGTATGAGCGCATTTTTCAGTGCTAAGTTCTTATAAACTAGAAACAAACCTGTATAATCGGAACTAATTTCTATCCTGTTGCTGCTACAAGATGCGGATTCCTGAATATGTACGGCAGCAGCATTCTGACTTTCTATTGGAGTAGTGCTGGGAGTTGTTTCTATAGACTCAGCGGCTTTAAACAACCTCACATCCACAAGAGAAGGGAAATCAATCTGAACAGTAGGCGTTAAAGTAAAACAAATAAACGCTCACGCCATTTAAGAATTAGCTCCAAAGAACATTACTATGATTAGCATTACCTCTAAAGTTCCATCTTCTTTATAAAGGCTACTACTTTCTTGCCCTTCATCTAATCTCTCTTCCGATATAAGGGGGTATTCAGGGAGTGGAAGCAGGATAACTTTTGAAGAGCTGCAGTCATATGATGAAACCCTGCCAACCTGAAATAGTAAGTAAAACTCCAGATCACTAAGTTGTTATTTTTGCAAAGAGTGATAATTAAACTAAATATTTATAATCTCCATCAGATCCTATCGCAGCATAAATAAAGTAAATAAGAGAATAAATAACAAAACAAAATTTTTTCTTATCATGATGCATATTAGAAGATTATGCTGGTAGTCATGAATTTTTTTCAACATGTGCAAGGCCGAAATCATACTCGGAAAGTAGAAAGCTGTGGGCACCATGAAGATGATAGTTCAACAACACGGTAGACTAGTACATCACCTTCCTGTAACAAATCCAGATGTCAATTATCCGTGCAGACAGATGTTTCATAGCTCAGGTAAAGACAACTAGCAAGCAAAATAAATTAAGTAATGACACCGTTTTTAGTTGTGAAAAAAAAAAAAAAAAACGTTAGTACTCTTCTTTAGTAGGCAGTACTCTTCTTTAGTAGGCATGTTAGATCAAATGAAAATATATTCTTTACTAAGCTAAGACATTAAGGTGATATAGAAGAAAATTAACCGTAAGTACAAGCAAAATGATCAAGTCATGTTTGCATACCTCAGGAAAACGAAGAAGGGGCTTGAAGCTCTCAAATTCAAACGGCTGCTTAACTTCCTCAAATTCTTTAGCAACAGAATTTCCACTGCACCCATTAACCGGCTCTACTTGATTAACAATAGACTCTTTATAGGCTTCCACTTCTTCAATAGCGGATTTTTCATTAGAAACTTCAACTAGCTTTTCTTCCTTAGCATCACAAGATTTAACATTGCTTAAACAATTTGAAGTATCATCATCCCATTTGTTAAAGGTATCCTCTCGACCCCATTTTTGCCCCTTCTTCTTGCTCGTTGTCCCATTCCACTGAAGAGTTTTCTGGGCCGCAGAATGATTCATACAGTGAAGGTAAGCAGATTATTAATGGCCACATTCAAAAGAAAGCATTAATCAGCCAAAAGATTTCAACTTCAGTAAATAACTAGAAGCATCAAGAGGGAATGAGGAAAACTAGAGCCTGTATTTCCTTAACATATGCCACAAAAAAAGTGTGAAAGTACAGATTGCTTAAATGATTAACCAGCCCCCTCCTCTTTAATATTCATTTTCATATTCATATGAATATTCATAACTTTCTCATTTCGTATATATTACAATCGTCATAGGAGTCACCATCTAGTACCATAAAGGTACTCCTTTACTATTTCTTTTTCCATATCTTTTACCATTTTAACATGCACGAGTACAGCGTCCCAAGCTAGTACCATAAGGGGGTGAACTCCATCAATTCAGCATGCACAATCAATAACTCAATATAACAATCATATCATAATCATATCATCTCATTTCATCTTATTTCTATAACATATGAACTTTGTATAATAATGCCATAAGATGTAACATATAAATTATATGATCAATCATTGGACAAAAATAATATAATCGTGATCTAAATTGACAAGATTTTATAAATATGTTTGATCTTTCAAAACATATAATTGGAGAGAAAACAAAGGTATCACTACAATAAAGAACTATGAGTTACTTATTTGACTGTTTCTAAAATTTAATTTTTTTCCAAAACCTCAAGCTTTGTTTTGTTGCGACCCATGACCCCGAGATTGAGATTTTGATGATGACAAATAATGTCGCATGAACTACTATTCATTGAATATCATTTATTGATTGCTATTGTCCGTGAGTACTAACATTTCAGGAATATTACAAGCTACTCAGGACAACTGGAAGACTCAAGACTGGATAGATTAAGAGTGAGTCTGCCAATGTAATTTGTTATTTATTTTATTTTTTATTTTCTTGAGTCTGGCCACAAACTGCATGTAAGTCCGAGCAACCATGCACACACACAGGGGGAGAGGGTTTTAAAAGTAAAAAATGTAGATTTTATTTCTATGGTGATCGTACTGTACGACTTTATTTCATACTGTATGATCTGAGCTTGCAAAACGATTTCTGTGAATAGATCGTACCGTACGAATACTATCGTACTGTACGATGTGTTCCAAATCCAAAATCCTAGTCGTCAACTTAACTTAAGTAAGTTTTTCTAAGCCGTTCGTACTGTACGAAGGACTTCGTATTGTACGATTTATTTTAAATACTTACTTAAATTACCCGTGATTAGTGAATAAATCAAGGCTTAATTACTAATTGAAAATCGTACTGTACGAACACATTCGTACCATACGATGAATAGAGACAAATTCCGATCGTCTTGGATTATCCCTCGTTTTTTGTCGCATCGTACTGTATGATGTATATCGTACCATACGATAAACAGGGACGACATTTGATCGTCCCGACATTCGTCCTGGACGATGCCTTGATTTTGACAATTCGTACTATACGATGTATATCGTACCATACGATGAACAGAGACGACATTTGATCTTCCCGGCTATCATCCTGTACGAGCAGTAGTGTTGAGGATCGTACCGTACGATTTAGTATCATACCATACGATTAGATTTTGAACTGTTTGTAAAACTGCGTACCAGGACGAAGCCTGTTTATACATATCGTACTGTACGATGTGAAATCGTACTGTACGATTGTAATGGCTACTTTGAAAATTTTAGGAATTTTGGAGCCCGTTTTATCAAAATTAGTAATCTTTTTGTGAGAGAGAAAAAGAGGGAACATGATTAGAGAGGAAATCCTTGGGAGAGAGCTCTTAAGAAGTTTTTAGGGTTTGAGAGAGGAAGGAGAAGGTGAGCTTGGTGAGGGAGAAGAGGTGCGAGGGAGATCAAAAGGTTGCTCTGTTCTTACTGCATCTTGCTCCTCCTGTGGCCCGGGAAGAACTTGTGGGAGGCCCTATGAGGAGGAGACTCTTCTACATCCGTGACCTCGAAGGTACTATGCCTTCTCCAAGAGGGAGAAAAACAAGAAGGTACTCTACCATCACCAGGAGAGTGAAAACAGCGCTTGGTACTCCGTGTGAAAACCCGAAAAATGCCGTTTTAGACCTCGCACGCTTTTCAAAGCGCCGCGACGAGTTTTAAGTGAAAAATTCAATGTTGTCAGATTTCGACGGGAATAATTTTATAAAATTCTATGCAAAATTCTAAGAAATTTGATATATAGAACTTGTATTCAATTTCTCTTAAATTAAGAGATATAATTTTTAGAAGTTCAAAAATACCCAAAGTATCCCTAATGTTTATTCAAGCATGGGTTGTTTAAGTGAGGGCATAGAGGTCTTTTGGCAAAACCCATTATCCCTCTATACAAAAACCGAAACCCTTCTCTTCTCCCCCATTCGTTCGTGTGGCCCGAACCGAGCGGAGAAGAGGGAGGAGCGCGCGGGTAGGAGCCGATTTCGGCGAGCTTGGGAGCGGATTCCGGCGGCCAATCTTGGAGGAAAGCGTAGGGAAATCCAAGGGAAGGTTAAGGTATGTGTTTTGCAAGAGTTTTTCTTCCTTTCCCTTGAGTTTTCCCTGAGGAATGAAAACTAAAGTTTTGAGAAAACTTAAGTTTTCTTTAAGATTCTTTTGAGAAACGTTTAGGGAAGGTTAGGGGGATGTCTCTAAACCCTAATGTGTATTTTCTTTTATCAAAATATGAGTTTTGAAAATTAGGGTTTTGCTTAAAATTGATCTTCTTTGGAAATGCCTTCACAAATGATATTTCTAAGGGTATGGAGAAGTTTTTTATGGGAAGACATTGTAAGGTTTAAGCAAAGTCTTGAGTTTATGGATTTAGGGTTTTTCCCCAATCATGATATTTTTGATCCCCATGGTTTTCATAGGTTGTAGGGAGGATTTTAGAAGCAAATACATGGGTTTTGCATGATACTGTTGTCAAATTCTTTATTTTTGTCAAGTGAATGATCATACAAATTACATGTACATTTTATGGTCTTATATGATAAAGTTTATATTGTATGGAATGAGATGATATGAATATTATTTGAATGCTTGTATGTGCATGTTGAAAGGATGGAGTTCACCCCTTATGGTACTAGTTGGGGACGCTGTACTCGTGCACGATAAAATGGTAAAGGATATGGAAAAGGAAAATGGTAAAGGAGTACCTTTATGGTACAGACGGTGACTCCTGTGACGGTTGTATTATATACGAAAAGAGAAAGTTAAGTATAATGATATGAATATGGAAATAAAAATGAAAGATGTGGTTTATGATATGATATGTTTAATGTTATGTTAAGTATGAATCATCTTTATGTTATGTTCATGTAAAATTGGCATTTAACATATTGTTCAGTTGCCTTGTTTACTGTAGTTTAGAATTGTGTATTACTTACTGAGCTTTAGCTTAATGTTAGTTGTTAACATTTTCAGGTAAGCTTAAATTAATCATATAAGTAGAAGGGGCGGCAATGTTTATCGTAGAGGAGGAGCTCCGGAAGAAAGGTAAGGATGAAGAATATGTCTGCTTATATGTTTATGTGATTTCAAACTTTATTGTTATAGTGGCTCTTTCAAAATATTTTGGAAATTTATTTAGGGAATTGATAGATTTAGGAATTAGATACTTGACTTAACGTCCGACCTCTGTTCCCGCCTCGCCTACGCGAGCTCACCGGGCTGGGTCGTGACACTGCGCCACGCCGGGTTGGTGAAAGGGAGTATTGTAAGTGCTTCTCCGCCTTGCCGAGGGGGGCAAAAGGAGAGCTATAATTTGTAGTGAAATTCAAGGAGCAGAGGACTCTGGGGAGTGGACGTAGGTCATGGTTTGACCGAAACAACTATAAAATTCCGGTGTGCTTTTTCCTTATCGCTATTTACTTTTGCTTGCACTTAATTTTCATAATATTTTCTTGGTGAAATTTGTGGAAGAAAAGGATTCTATTGTTGCACGTTGATTTCAATTGGTTTTCCTTCGTAGTAGTTTAAATCTTCATGTTAAAAATTTAAAAACATCAAAAAATTAGAACTCCTGGTTAGGGTTTAATTATTGCTATAAAGTTTCATAATTCACCCCCCTCTTGTCGATTTAGTTATTTCAATTGGTATCAGGTATGTTTTCAAAAATAGTGTTTTAGAAAACCTTGAAAAAAATGATCATGTCGCATTTTGGAAATCGTAACACCGTGGAGGCTTATTCAATAACCCGTCCACCTCTTTTTAATAACATCTCGTTTGATTTCTGGAAAATTAGAATTTCTACCTTTTTGCAATCTATTGATTACTGCAAGTGGATGTTAGTCAATGATGGATATATTGCACCTTTTAAAACTATGAATGGAGTGAAGACTCCAGTACCTTTTAATGAATGGAGCAATGAGGATAGGGATTTAGCCCAATTGAATGCTAAGTATTTAAATTACTTTTTCTGTGCATTAAAGTCTGAGGATTATATGAGAGTTTCTACCTGTGCTACTGGTAAGGAGATTTGGGATAGACTATGCATTACATATAAAGGAACAAGTGAAGTAAAACAGTCTAGGCTTAACATTCTATTGCATGATTATGAACTCTTCCGTATGAAACCTAGCGAAATAATATCTGACATGTACACTAGGTTCATCCAAATCGTGACATCCTTGCATGCATTAGGTAGAGAGATTTCAAATTCGAAGAAAGTTAATAATATTCTAAGATGCTTACCTAGTTCCTACGATACTAAGATAAATGTTATCATTGAATCTAAAGACCTTAACGTTTATTATATTGATAATCTCCTTGGGTCACTCATTGCATACAAGCAAGGAGTGAGTCAAAGACAAAGTGATGCAGGTGAAAAAGAGCGAACGGTGGCATTAAAAGCAAACAATTCAAAAAGCGATAGCTCTGCAGGGGAGGAAGAAGATGATATAGCCTTGATGACTCGACAGTTCAAGAATTTTTTAAAGAGAAAATAAAGGCGTCATCAAAATGGCTGGAATAAAGGTGAAA